TGGTGCACGAATTGTTGTTGTCCCGTGGCATTGATGCACGCAGACCGGCGGCCCTGGTTGGATCGTGCCGCTGGGGCGGAGGGACTCCCGTGGCGCCAGCGTGCAGGGCTCCAACAACGACATCCCGGCTCCCAACAACACTCTGCCCACCATCATCACCAAGTTCAAGCTCCAGGGCCTCGACATCGTCGACCTCGTCGCACTCCTCGGTACGTGCCTAGCTAGCTAGTATATATTCTCACGATTCTAGCCATCTACTTCCCGCCAACTAATCGAAAGCCAGACGTGAGCTATGTATGACGATAAGACTAGGCTAATTGGTACTGAAATGTAAACGCCACGTTGTTGAAGTTGGACGATGTGAGCCGGTATAGTTCGTGAATAGTGTTCTGACTGTAGTACGTCAAATCTTGCCTAGCTATATGTTGAATCTAGTACTAAAGTTTAGGGGTGTCACATGGGAGTGTCACATCGAGTTCGGATAGTAATAATAAAACAAATTATAGAAGTTATCAGTAATCTGCGAGACGAATTTATTAAACCTAATTAATCCGTCAGCAGTACATGTTTACTGTAGCACCTCATCGTCAAATCATGGCCTAGCTAATTAGGCTTAAAAAATTTTATCTTGCAAATTAGTTTCAATCTGTGTATTTTTTGTAATTAGTCTATATTTAATACTCTATGTATGTGTCCAAACTTCCGATGTGATAGAGACTAAAGTTTAGGAGGGGAACAAACAAGCCCATCCATGGATAAGCAGGTGTATATCACCAACCACACTGATAGGAGGAAGACAACTAGTCTCATCATACACCAATTATTGCACAAAACTGTAGTAAGACCTAAACACCTCGATCGAACTCCCTCGCAAAGTTGCAATACCCAACAAGATTCAGGTCGTGCACGATGGTGCATATACATATGATTAGTTATCGCAAAGTTTCCAAACTAGCCCGGTCTAATTAGTTTGCATGATTTTGCACAAGCATTTAGCGTATTCATGATGATGCAAAAGGATCACATATATAATAGTTAGTAGTAGTAGCAGAGCAGCAAAATTAAGGATTAAACCCTCAATATGGACGTGTACAGTACATGACAAATACTCTACTGAATTTACTCTGGCAGGTAGCCACACCATCGGCGACTCCCGGTGCACCAGCTTCCGGCAGCGCCTGTACAACCAGACGGGCAACGGCCTCCCAGACTTCACCCTAGACGCGTCCTACGCGGCGACGCTACGCCCGCGCTGCCCGCGCTCCGGGGGTGACCAGAACCTCTTCTTCCTCGACCCCGTCACGCCCTTCAAGTTCGACAACCAGTACTACAAGAACATCCTCGCCTACCACGGCCTCCTCAGCTCCGACGAGGTGCTCCTCACCGGCGGCCCGGCCACTGCCGACCTTGTCAAGCTCTATGCTGCCAACCAGGATATCTTCTTCCAGCACTTCGCGCAGTCCATGGTCAAGATGGGCAACATCTCGCCGCTCACCGGGGCCAATGGTGAGATCAGGAAGAACTGCAGGAGGGTCAACCACAGCTGATGGATCGATCGGCTCAATGACAAGTGACAACATTGGCCGACTGCTTCCAATTGCTTATTATGCATGTCTCTGCTCTCCTGTTTGGTTGCTTGGTTTGTTCATTCAGTGGCCTCGCCTTGCTGAGATTTATTATTTGTTTCCTTCAAACTGTATGAATTTTCCTTGTCCATGTGTTGTTTTATTTCAAAATTGTTGCTCTTGTTAGAGGAATCCATTTCGATTGTACCTTGGATTGGAGGTACATCATAATTAATGTTTGTTATATATCAGTTTCCAGTCAAGAAAATTTGTTGAATAAACTAGAACTTTTTGCCAGTACTTTGAAGTGTCTAATAAGACCTAAGTTTATGAAAACCCCAAGTTTGGTTTCAGTAATTGAATGACAACGAGTGGACTAATTGATGGGACGGGGTTCCCTATCTTCCCTCAAGTGGATATAATTTGATTTACTAGAGATGCAACACACCGATCCGACTTTAGATCGATAGACCCGAACCATGCAACCTTAGCACCACGTTTCCTCTAGTTATCAATCATATCACAATACGGTTGTCCCCGCCGAGATGGCTAATAATCCTTGCTGCAAATCGAAGAACACAAACAAGAACAAGAAAAAACACAACTCAAGTAAAGTGACAATTGTGAATATAAGATTAAGCTCTTGAATGTGGGGTTTCATAAACCGACGAACAACGACGGTTCAAAGATAGATTCATCTAAAGCAAAACCCAGACTATAACATGGGCGGCTAATGATTATATAGTCTAAGGGGCATCAAGGACCCCTATTCGCATCCCTAAGGAGTCTCAACACGTTACAAAGGCCACAACGGCCCAAAAGACGACGGTGCAATACCCTAACAGATTCTGTACGTAGAATTATTTCGATGATTTCCATTGACCTCGATCAAATTTTTACATGGGAACATTGTCATTGGTTAGCTTATGAAATTATACATCCACCCATAGGTAGATCGTCAAAGACAGACTCGATATGCGTTCTGGGTGTCCGCTTTACTATAGGCTGCTCCTGAAGTCCGATATGAACTCGAACTTGACGTGGATTGGACCTCCAAGTTGCCCTGGATGGCCTTGCTTGCCTCCTAAGGTGGTGAGCAAGGAGGAGAACATCATTGGGAATCTTTGAGGTGTTCTCTCACATGGTTGGAGTGTGCTCCAACTTGGACCATGGTCCCAAGGGTGAATAACAAACTCACGACGACATCGTAGTACCCGGCAGAAACAACAATAGTTTATCATGATAATTTAAAGGCCTAGCCGACAAAATATTGATGTGGGACTAGATCCATTTAAAACCTTATCAAACAAGCTTTCCATCAAGTAATCATTGACCTCAATCGCACTCCGGATGGATGAGTTATGACTTTTCCAATGAAGCACTGTCGGTCTGCCGACGAACCGAATGTTGGGCTTTGATGAGCTTTCTCTCCAAAATCGATCTTGTGCATGTTGTATCCATCTCCCATCTTGTCAGAGCTTTCGACCCCGGCAATGAAGATCAGCGTGTCATGCACAGGGAATCAATAGGGTAACACACATGACACAGATTTATACTGGTTTAGGTATGTGGTACCCTACGTTCAGTTTGGAGTAGATCTCTTTATCTCGCATGCTCAAGTTACAAGGCGTTGCTAAGTATTTGCAAGGTACCGATTGTGTGCGGTTAGAGTGCACGTTTAGATCTATATCCAAATGGATCTACTAACCGATGAATACGGAGCCATAACCACCATAGGAGAAAATACGCAAACAAGAACATCACCGAGGCATGATGTCTTTTTTAACGAGGTTCAGCGTTGTGCCTACATCCTCGAGGCATGACTACGGACACTCTTTCCCATAAAACAGTAGCTACACTGACATCTACCATCTAAAATATGTTCTTCCAATGTAGGATCACATTAGTTTACTAGTATTGTTTTGGCAATTAGTGTTGTACACACATAATATGGATGTTGCGCATCCGATTCTTTTGCTATGTCCTCCCCTTAAACCGTAACTTGATAGTTCGCATAGAACTGAAGAAATTTCTTTGTATCAATGGAATATATCTGTAACTGTAACTTGTAAGGACTCGTGTGGACATGCATGTGTGGTGGCCGAGAGTGGTGCTGCGCTTTTTTTCAAGCTCCTGAACTCCTGCAGCGACGACTTGTACAGAGTTATTTGTCTGCTTCTATATGAGACTCCTACAGAGTGATGCTTCTGTTCTTCTTTTCCTTTTTGTGGGTTTTGCAGGTTGTATGGACTTTAGGTAGGTGACTCCCCAAAGTGTGTGATCCACTGCTTAGCAACGGTAGGCTATTCCCATTGTTGCTGCAGCTTAATGAGCATGCTAAGCTCTCAATGCTCAGGAATATCCTATCAATTTTTTTTATGCATGCATTGCCTCTTTTTTCTGTTATAACATGGCGATATCTGTGTATTAAATTACTCAATGAATGAAGAGATTTTTTGTCCAGCTATATATTTATGTTGCAAATCTGAAGGATATAATAGAGACTTGATGATTTTTTTTTTTTTTTGTTTTTTTTTAACCACCATTTGGTGCAGCCTTCACAGGAGGCAGGTGTGGGACGAGGATCAAACCCCCGGTTCTTATAGTTCCTTGGGCAAGTAGCAATAGCACCAATAATAAAGGGGATGAAGGATCACGGGTAACGCAGTCAAGCTACCTGCACCTGTCTGGCTGGCTCCTCCCTTGGAGCCTTCACCACTAGGCCACATGCCCATCCACATAGAGATTTGATATTCCGTAAAATCTTTTATAAACTCAAGTCAACTATAAGTTGCCAGATTAAAGGTTGATGTTGTGGTGAGTTTACTTCAAAAAAAATGTTGTGGTGCCTTTTTTTTACCAAAATGCTACAATAAGTTATAACACAAAGATATTTTCTTTATAAACAACTCATGTATCATGTACTTTACTTTAGAAGCAGTTCTAGATTTATTGTAAAATGTACTGATTCTTCTGCTCCAATTTAAATGGTTCATTGACACCAATTTTAATTTTAATTGAAATAACTTCATTTTAGTTGTTTCATTTATTAGTGCATGTACTAAATAAATTAGCTGGATTCAACGTGAATGCACTCAAACATCAATAGGAGTACATTTAAAGGACATACTCGATGAATGGAGCTGGTTTCCATTGACTTTCCGCATAACTTTGTAACAAAATATATGCCGTGCAACATCCATAGAACTATTTGTATTATTATTATTTGAAAAAAAACATTGTGATTTCACCCGGTCTTATGAACTCTTTTGCGTCGACACGTGTGCCTATCCACTAGCACCCTCAAAGGAGCAATGGAGAGGTGCACTGGAGCTTTCTAGTGAGCGGCACTGAAGTTTCCTGGTGGGCCAGTCCTAGGCAAAGAGAAGAAGCCCGGAGGCATACTTCTGTTATGGTCAGTAAGTATAGTTATAGTTAATAGTTAAAGCCACCACCTCCAGCATTGGCATCGACATCTGCTTTGCCGCTAACCCCTGCCTTACGGCCACCAAAAGTAGTTGCATCCGCATTAGTTTTGCCACCTTCATATCCTCCAGCATCGCCACTTGCGCTGGAGCTGCTGCTCTTACTTGCCTCAGCTTCTCCTCCAGCTCCAGCACTAGCATCGACATCTGCTTTGCCGCTACCCCTTGCCTTACCGCCACCAGAAGTAGTTGCATCCGCATCAGTTTTGCCACCTTCATATCCTCTAGCATCTCCACTTGTGCTGGAACTGCTGCTCTTACTTGCCTCAGTTTCTGTCGACACGGAATTTTGTCCCGTGCCGAGGACACACGTAGCAAGCCGGAAGGGTCTGCTCGATGGAGCTGGAGATCTGCTTAGCTTCAGCGCAAGGGTGGTCGATCTGCGCACTCCTCCCGAGACGTGCCAGTCAATTTGACTCTGTAATTGACAAGGAGAGAAAGCTTATCAGTAATTAAGGGCAGAACATGCCGGTGTTACCAGACAGTCCTGAATGTGCTGCTCTGAGAGCTGATATGAAAGGAGATCGACTAAATAGCCGATTCTAGCATATTCGTAAGAATAGATCGGTTAAAGTTCATAGGATTGTGTAAGAAGAATCGGTTATCATTATGAATATTATTGTTTAAGCAAATACTGGTCACTGGCAAAAAGATATCAACAGTAATTAGTTCATGCTAAGCCAATGACTGTAAGTAACCGAACCCCTTTTTATGAAAGAAACAATTCATCTTCATTCAACCATTTAATAGAGATAAATCTAATAAACATATTAGATCTCATCTATCGTTGTGACCAGTGGGGCATGAGGCAGAATCATGCAGGCCGTAGAAACAACAATAGACTCAACGACCCTAACTTATTAGTAATATCAGTGGGGCATGAGGCAGAATCATGCAGGCCGTAATACAATAATAAGATCATGAGGCTGACACATCTTTCAACCTATCGCTACTTCAACGATCTCGTGATGCGAACCGTTCGTGAAAGCGCTCGATATCGGCTAAAACAGCCGATTCAGGCATAACGCACACTTAAGGTCGTGCCCTCTCAGAAACAGATCTACCAAATATCGATCCCCGCTCCACGGTGCTAACAGTGGGGTGTGAGGCAGAATCACATAGGCCATGATAACGGGCCATGGAACAGATTTCGCTAGCCAATAGATCCATTCAAGGTCAAACGCGCCTTAACCGCACGCCATGCACGATCAAGATTGACATAAAACAGCCGATAAAACATAACTCATCGTTTAAAGTGCAGATTAAATCAGTTTAGATTAACAAACGATGGGTTAACAAAGATGTAAGGCCGATCTAGATCAATCCTAATCGGGCGAAGTGATATTGTTGTAATTAAATAAACAATGGAAGCAATAAGCAATATCGGTAACTTAATGAATCTATCCGATGAAATACTACCCTTAGATAGAGCCGATAACTTGACCTTAATCTAGTTCGACCAGTGGAGGTCGACTGGATCGATGCAGCCGTACTTGAACTAGACAAGAATCGATAACTAACTCATACCAGAGTTGCAGTGGAGGTCGACCGGATCGATGCAGCCGTACGAACATAGGTATACGCCATGACGGTACTTACAGATAAGCAGCGGAGGTCGACCGGATCGATGCAGCCGTACTTACTGAAGAACTCACCGAGATCTACTCTACTCCTACTCCTAAGGGGTGGCCGGAGCCGAAAAAAGTAAATAACTTGTATTGGATTGATTGTGTGTCTTACAATAGCCGGGCTTTGATATTTATACCCGGGACCTACGCATGACTCCTGTCTAAGCACGACTCATCACAATTTTGACCCTTGAGGAAACATTTCTAATTTAAGATAACTTGGACTCTAATCTTTTCCTTTTTGTAGAGTCCAACATGTCTCGTCCTGGCGCCGATCGTAGCCTTTGTCGTTATCCGCTGACGCTATCTGAAGAAAGCCGATTTTCAGTGTTTTGAATCAGCTGATTCCAATCTGTACGCAATTGATTCCTTGATGACATGATCTTGGGAGCTTTCGAGTCCCTGCGACTCCTTCCAAATTTTGGTGTAAATACATGTCCCCCAATTTTGGGATAAAAGTAATTTTATTCCAAAATTATCACGTCTGTATCCCCGTTAGGTCCATAGTCACGGGTAGAGAATCTTGATCTGGGGTCTACTGTTTGTCACCATTTATGTTAGCTCATGAGCCCATGCTTCAAAACTTTCATGAGAGCATCATTGCTTCACGGGCACTTGGACTCATCTTTACGGGCCGGCTATAAAATGCCTATCCGACCTTGGCGAGAGCAACTCAACAATTCAGCCATGTTTCTCTTCTATCTGCCTCCTCGAGTGCTCCCGACTCCGCTAGACCCTCCATAGTCTATCCTTTTGCTATGAAGATCTCAAGCGATTAGAAGAATTCTTGTGCATAGGGTGATTGTGTCGCTCATTTTAGCGCCTCATTGAGCAAGAAGACCAGCCATTGCGGTTAGAAGAATTCTTGTGATATCACCTGAGTCTTCTCTCCATGCTCGCAAAGCTGTTCTAGTGTTTGCGAGGGCTAAAATGTGTGGACATTTTCCCCTTGCTTGCTCCTCCAAACGCCCACCGGGAAAGCCACAGGCTCCTTTTAGGCGGGCGACCTTTCCTCTTCTCTGGCATAATTTTATCAACGGGCCGATGTGACTTGGTTCGCGATGAGTTTCGGCCTTGTGGGGATCCAGACTCCCTTCAATCCAAAGAAGCCATAGTGGGTTAATCTCTGGTCAATGTAAATTCTTTGTATCCGTCCCACGATATTTTGTAATTTGGGGAAGCAATAAGTTCGAGTCCGTTATCCCTTCATTATACGTCCCCTAAATTTCCAGAGTGTTGATCCATTTCTGTTTCTGATTTCAATTTCACACCCCCGGCGAAATCTTCCTTCTCGCTTTCCCAGGCTATATATACGGGCCACGGCTATGGATCAAAAAACAACCTGCTTCGTCTCAAACCTTTTTCATCTTTAGTATAGTTCCTGCCCTTCCATAGGTATGAGGTCATGGAGAACAACAAGAGGTCTGCTAAAGAGGCCCTCAACGGATCTGCATCATCGTGCCAACGCCTTTGTCGCCAAGAGGACACAACTTGGGGTACTCCCATCGCCTCGGATCAGAGGACCGACTCTGCCCAGCCTTCGGGGTCATCTTTAGCACTAATCCGCCGCCAGCTTCCTCATCAATCGAGGAGGCAGATCGATAATGACGATCTGCTGGCCTCCATCGATATGACTGACTAGATCGATAATGACGATCTGCTGGCCTCCATCGATCGGACTGACCAGCATCTGGCCAATTGCCTCTCCCTAGCAGAATTAGCTTTGGTCGTGATTGAAGGCCGATCACCCCCCGAGGTTGGCCTGGTGGGAGAAAGGTTGGCCAGGGCTGAAGCTAGAATCATGGGTGAGATGTCTGCCATAATTCTTCTTAATTTTGCCCTCAAGATTTCTAATCACTCTTTTCTTGAATCTTTTTAGATCTAACTGCTCAGTTGGAGAGTCTTCGATCAGCTACGGATCACGCGGTGGGATTTGTCAATGCTAGAGGCGTCGTTCTGGTGGTTCGCTTGCATGACATCCCGAATCGTGTCAAGGAGGTCGCCCTTCATGGCGTTCGTCATGGTGCTACCATGGCGCTGGCTGCTGCACGAGCCCGCTCTGGCCATAATCTTCGGCATCTTCCCCATGGTTTTTCGGACGAAGCGTACCCTGGGGAGCATGAGCGCTTGGTTGAGGACTTCATGAGCTCCGCCAACTCTGTAGCCTTCAACACCCTGGCCGATGATATAGTAGGCAAGGTGTTCTCCGGCCCGTAGCTTGTAATAGGTGACATTTAGCAAACAACTTCCGTGTCTTGAGTGATTTTCCTTTGTTTCGTGCTTCATACACATCACTCTGTACGTGTTTGCTTTGCTTCTATAGGCGATACACATTGTACCAGCTCTTACCCCTTTGGGTTTATTTTTCACTGGAGGCGATACCTTTTCAATATCGGCTATTAAAGCTATCGATTGAACAAATCGCTTATTAAGTATTGATCCAAACGCTAGGATAATATTTCTTTAAATATTTCCCGTTGATTGCTCGGCCAAATTCTTCTTCTCCTTTCAGTGTTTCCAAAATGTAAGCATTACCAGTCGCACAACGTTTGATCCGATAAGGTCCTGCCCAGTTAGGTGACCATTTGCCGAATTTACTGTCCTTTGACCCGATCAACAATTTTACTTTCCAGACCAAGTCTCCTTCAGAGAAATGCTTAATCTTGACCTTTTTATTGTAATATTTCACAACCCTCAGTTTATTGGCTTCGATATTTTCAAGAGCACGCATCCGAAGGTAACTCAAGTTCTCCAAATTGTCTATTATAAGATTTTTGTAGACTTCGGCTGACAAATCATTATGTAGTGTGACGCGCCTCGATCCAGTCCAAAATTCCCAAGGAAGAACTGTATTATGGCCATACACAAGTTCGTAGGGCGACATTTTAATTGATCCATGGCAGGCCATCCTATATGCCCACAGTGCCTCATTTAGCATCGAATGCCATTTTCTTGGCTGTTCCTCGATCTTTTTCTTGATCAACTTAATTATAATCTGGTTGAACGCCTTTGCCCAGCCATTAGCCTGAGCATAGTAAGGAGAGGAATTCAGTAGCTTGATTCCCATACTGGCAGCAAAATCCCCGAACTCTTCTGATGTGAACATTGTTCCTTGATCTGTAGTTATAGTTTGAGGAATCCCAAAACGAAACACAATGTGTTCCCTGACAAAATCAATCATGTTCTTTGAGGTTACCGTCTTCAAAGGAATTGCCTCAACCTATTTAGTGAAGTAATCTGTTGCTACAAATATGAACTTATGTCCTTTGCTTGAAGGCGGAAAAATCTGGCCAATTAAATCAATTCCCCAACCTCGAAACGGCTATGGCTTGATTATTGGATTCATGGCCGATGCAGGCGATCTCTGGACATTACCAAAACGTTGACAGTCCTAGCACCCCTTGTAATATTCAAAACAGTCTTCCAACATCGTTGGCCAAAAATATCCAGCTCTGCGGATAATCCATTTCATCTTATAAGCCGATTGATGAGCTCCACATATCCCTTCATGCACCTCACCCATCAATACCTTAGCTTCTTGGTTTAAGCATTTGAGCAACACCCCATCGACTGTTTTATAATATAATTGGTCATCTAACAAAACATATTTAGTCGATTTATACCTTAGCTTTCCGGT